GCAACGAGGCCGACGGGTACTACGAGGACCAGGAGTTGGGCATGCACCCGCAGCACGGCGGCAGCACCTACCAGATGAACCTGGCCACGGACCCCGGCGCCCACCCGTCGGCGGCGACGCAGAACAGCACCAGTAGCGTCAACCCGTTCGGCGACCATCACAGCTACGAATACGAGGGTAGGGGGCGGGCGCCCGCCGCCACCGCAGCAGCAGCAGCCGCTCCGGCTAGTTTCAAGGCGCGCGCCGGCGGCGTCAACCCGTTCGACGACGACGCGGCCGACCCGAGCAACCTCGGCCTGCGCGGGGTTAGCCCGCGGCCCATCAACACCGCGGCCGCCCCTGGGGGTGCACCAAAGTCGGGGAGCGGCGGGAGCCCGACGGAGAGGGCCGAGAGGAGGTCGATATTCCGGGAGAACATGTGATGTCTACGCTGGCATGAGGCGGCAGAGCACCCCGTGGCGGAGGGGAGAGTCGAGTGCCAGGGTCGAGGGCTTGCGCCTCGCCGGATTTGCTATTGGATATTGACGGGTAGCGCACAGATGGGCTGTTCTCATTTACCTGTGTATTTCTTTGGTGAGTGCTTGTGATATTCCCACTTCTTGGAGCCGGCGTTTCTTTGCGGCTCTACCGGGATGATTCTACCGGGATGTGGCCAGGATGGATCCTTATCTTTGATGACTACTCTTCAAAGGGCTCTTCAGTCTCATGTTAAAGTCGTGTAGATTTATATGACGAACGATGACATATTTACGAAAGCAGGAAAGAGATACCCGCACCCCGTTACCCATATTGACTTGCGAGTGTCAGAGAGACTGGTTACGCTGTCTTGGACGGTTACGGAAAGCCGCAACTGGGGCTGGTCAACAGTGGCTTTGGATGTTTTGGGAGGTCGCATGTTATGTGATTCGTCAAACGGGTGATTTGACCGAATGGTGCTCTTTTGGGCAATCCCACAACCAAAGGTGGGCCCACCTCGAGAGGTTTTACGTACCAACACTGCCCTCCACCACGTGCCCATGTCATCATGACTACCAGCCAGGCTTGCGTACAGTCCAGACCTGGCGATTTCATTTCGAACGAGCCCATCTGCAAATTTAAAAAAAAGCCTCTTTCTGGAGGATTCCCCTGATGCCGTTGCTGGGCCTGCGAGAGTCTCTTTCAGAGTTTCATTGTCAGGACAAAGAAGAAGAAAAAAAAATGACGAGACAAAAGTCTTGTCTCCTGGAATGTGGTACTGGTTTCGCTCCCCTCCAAACCCGAGACAAAGAAGAGGTCAGAGCTTGCAAGGGGTGGTGGTTCAAAGAGCTGGAATTTTCCCCCCGAGTCGCCGGTTAAATAGGGAAGCAACTTGTGACGAGGCAGCCAGGCCTCCAAACATCGCTTGATCATTTCTGCTCCCGTCGTCCCATTTGCAGCCTTCCCGCACCCATCTCGAGCCCCTGAAAAATCGGCCTTACCTGCCTTTGTCTCTCTCTCTCCCTCTCTCCCTCAGTGGCGACGCGGGCTTGCAAACGACATCTCGAGGTTTCATCCATCCTCGCAAGCGACAAACCATGTGCCAAGGTACCGTCACGACGCTCCTCTGCGGGCACAGGCTCTGCCACTTCTCGGCCCGGTGCGGACGCGGGTGCGCGGAGCCGACGTCCGGGCCGCGCGATGCGCTGCGGGACACGTGCGCCTGGTGCCACGCCGAGCACAGCCCGGCGGGGATCAACGACGCCTACAGCCGCCAGCGCGAGGACCTGACGGACCAGCTGCGCGCCGCGGCGCCGGGCTCGCCCCAGGCGGCGTCGCTGGCCAAGCTGATCGGCAAGCTCCAGGTCCAGCACATGCAGGCGCTGGCCAGGGCCGGGCGCATGGCCAGGCGCGGCGGCGCCGTGGACGTGCAGTGGCCCGGCAAGCCGGACGACTATGAGTAAGTTTGGCGCGCTCTCGTTGACTGATGGTTTGTAGAATAAAAGATGAGAACTGCTGCCCCCCCTGGCCTCTGAACGTCATACATACATGCATGCATGCATACGTACACGCATACGTACATTCATATACACACAGATACCCCCCCTGAGATGTGATGGATCGCATGACGGAGTCCTCCCCCTCGGTCCCGAAGAGAGGCAGGAACGGGCTGGATACAATACCCATCGACTCCGTCCTGCATGCTTGCTCATGAACCCCCTTTGGCAGAAGACTGACCCGCTGCTCGATATTGGTACAACAGCGCCGACATACTGGCCGGCGTCCCTGGCGTCCACGGCCGGAACATCTACGTCCTTCAGACGTCCGATTCCGGCTCCTGAAGAGAGAGACCTTGTCGAGCAGAGACAAGAAAACAGGGTGCGCTGCTCTCCCGCTTTCGACATGGATGATGCCCAGGCCCGCCCGCACTGCGGCTTAGTTTCGGCCCTCGCCGTTTGAAGCCAAGGGACTGAGAAGGCCGAACCAGAAACGTCCTGTCCGCTTTCGTCCTGCGCTGTCGTTGTTGCCCCCGGCAGCATGTCCAACGCCCAACCCGCCCCGGAACGGCCAGCCAGTCACATGGCCGCCCTTCTCACCACCTTGAACGGCAAGTCGAGGCAGGCGGCGGGGTGTCGCCCGACGGCCGCGCGATGACACACACACACACACACACACACCCTCTTCAGACCTTGAGCCCTTGCCAAACCCGAGACGAGTCGGCCGGACCCCGGCTGAGCGTACGTAAGCGGGGGGCGCGGACTGTGACGTGGGGATCTGGCAGTGATCGAGGGAGGAGCGCTAATGACCGCCCGACTCGGGAGTGTGTGTGTTATCCGTTGGAGATACCAGGAGTCCCCCTTTTTTTTCCCTAGCCTCAGCGCGACTTCAGAGGCGGGCCGGAACAGGGAACATGCCTGAGAACTGGATCCAGCCAGCAACTTTGCCGGGCTTGTTGCGGCATCTCGGCCAGCGGTAGGCGCAATAGGGAGGATATTTTCCGGGGGCTATTACGGTGTGGTCTGCCATGTCATGATGCAGTGGCAAGTGGCTGACGGGGAGCGGTAGCCACGTCGGTCCCGTTCTTAGTGCCCGAGATTAGCCATGGAATACGAACAGTACGAGAGCCTTTACGATTCCGGGCCAGCTCCCTGCGAGGTTCTTGGTAGTGACTCCTGAAGATACCTAGTCGCCACCAAGACCATGGCTGTGATATTCCCCCTCCCCCAAGACTTTGGTAGCTCTAAGCAGCAGTCAACACGAAAAAAAAAGCAAACAGAACCCCCACACGATGCCAATCGGATGTGGCTGCAACAGCCACCCCCAACTCCGGGCCCTCGCATCCGGGTGTTTTGGGGCGGGATCCAAGGCCAAGGGAGGAGGTTCCTTGCCTGCCGCCTCGCCCGTGAGTGACCCCATCATAACAAGCTGACGCGGCGCGGCAGGGGAGCAGTCAGCGTCCTCTCTAGGTCAGCCACCAGCGTGACTGCCCAGCACGCCATGCAGCAAAAGCCGAAGAGCCTTGGCCGGATGCCGCGATGCCGAAATGATCCGGATTTCCCTCGGCTTCTTACTTTCTTTCTTGTCCGCCCTTTTGTTTAGTAATCCTTGCAAAATATAGGGAGAGGCGAGCATGGGCTTCCTGCTTTGTTGAAGCGTTTTTTATTTATTTTACGGTTGCATCTACTTCTAACCGGCTTGTTGTCAAAAGAAAAGATAAACAAAAGATGCGATCAAAACTTGCCTACCGGAGCGAGGCCACGCATCCCTTGCCTTCTTCGTTTATTTTCTTCTATATGGCCCGGAGACTTTAGGCCGCTCGCTTGAGGCACGTCCCGAACAGCGTGGCTGCATAATGTGCAAGCTGTGGCTGCCATTCTTTCCCCGCCGCGTACGTGTACAGTAGGCAAAAGGTGGGAATGTGTGGTGGGAAAAAATGCAAGGGATAGATAAGAGGTGGATTTCAGCTATACTTGGCACATATAGAAATATGAGTAAAGGCACGTAAGCACCACCACACGTAGCTTGCTTACCTACCGAGGCTCCCCTCCGGTTCGCCAGCAAGGGAGGCCCTTAACAGCGGCGCGCATATACCCGTGGCGTGACAGGTGCATGGAATCAACGCGGCCCTGTTTCTGTTTGCTCACGGCTGCGGGCCGTTTTTTATTTTATTTTTATTTTTATCCCCTCTTCATCAAACACACACACACACACACACACACACACACACACACACACACATACACACCGTCCGCGCGCCAAGGTAGCCCCATTCCTTCTTAACCACACTGCCGGGACGCTGTGGGGAAGAGTGATGAGCTGCTTAGGGAAGATGGCGATGACCCGATTGGAACCGTTCTGGCGGGACCGAAATGGCGGTGACAGGCGGATAGGAGAGGAAGGAGGTTATGGGCCGCTCTTTTGCTGTGTGGGCTTGTACTAGATAGGCTAGGCTAGGCTTGTGTTAGATAGGCTAGGCTAGGCTAGGCTACACAGAAGATGCAGCCTTGCGATATAAAAACGTCAGCCGCAGACGCTTTCGTCCGCCTTGCATGCGCCGAGTGGGGGGGATGGTGTGTTGGTTTCCAGTGCGGCCGCCTTTGCTAGGTTGTCCCTTGCATTCCATTGCGCCTTGTTCGGCTCTGAGCACTCACTCCCTTGTGTCATTGCCATGGATTGCTTCCCTGGAGATGCCCAACAAGGAGGGAGTGTTAGGTAGTCAGCCCCACCTACCGACCAGTAATCGTCGCCCAGTAACAAGAAACAAACAAAAAACAAAAAAAAAAAAAAAAAACGCAATCAAGGGGATACAAACGGCGACCAACGGCAGATGCAGGCAGCCTATTCTAGACGATACACGCATACACGTACCGACCGGCCACAAGCAGCGCCGCACCGCTGGCTCGGTAACAGTACCTGCCTGCCCTCCGTCGTCGTCGGCGCTGAACCAATCAGCCGACTGGCCTCCCGGCAAAGCCAATGCCAATGCCGGCCGGCAGTTGCCCGCCATCCGTTGCTGTCCAGCGCCAGGGGTGGAAGAGAGCTGGGACCACTCACCCCCTGGGCCCTGCCAGACTGGGGATCGAAGCTAGGCACAGCTACTGTGCCTAGATACCTGTAATCCCTCCCCTTTTGCACAGTACGTGCGAGACACACACACATGACGTCCACAACTCACTGACCGGTCAACGTCAATAAGTTCATGTTTCAACGATCTTCAACGTCAATCGTCAAGCACGCACGCCCCACCCGCCGACCAGGGGGGATGCCATGCCATGCAAGCAAGGCACCGCTGGCGGTAGGTTGAGCATCAAGATGGACCATCGTTTGTAAACCCTCCCTTGTCGATCCCCTTTCTCCATTCGCGTTTCCCTTTCATTCCTTCTTGCTTTTTTTTTCTTTCTTTTTCTTTCTTTCTTTTTCTTTCTTTCTATCCTTTTGCCCGCTCCCCCTCCCTGCTCCCCATCCCTGTCAACCGCAACTTATGCAAGATTTGATCAAAAGGTGGGGAAGGAATTCGCCGACGTGCCCAGGATGAAACACCAAGGCCGTGGGCGGCGGCGGCGGTAGTGGTGGTGGTGGTGGTGGTGGTGGTGTGGTCCAAACCCACGGATCTCCAAACAAACCACCCACCCTTCGCGTGACACGGCCTACATACAACTAAGCGAGGAGGTGACGTAGCAACAGAGCATCCGCATGCCGCCGTGCGAAAGGGAGCGAGAGGAGAAAAGACACGAAATGGCGGACATGACAGGTCTCACAGCACCCCCGTTTGCCGACGCCATGGGATGAAGCAGGCAGGGTCTCTGCCCATCAAGTGCCACACACAAGCCCCACGAAACAAAGCCAGCCCAGTCTATCCCAACAGGGGATGTGGGTTTATGGGATCTCACGGGCAGGAGAAAGGCAGGCAGGCCTCATTCCCAGCTGTCTCAGGGAGCGACGCAACACACGGCTCCCCGGTGCCGCTTCCCAGTGGCGGCTGTTTCCCGACTTAAGCGATCTGTCCTACGAGACACTGCGATCTCGCTGCGTAACCCTCCACGGGTGCTGAAACCCATACCCAGGAAGACGAAAAGAAGCGAACCACGGCCGGCGAGTAGAGGCATCTATCTCAACCACCACCCAAGTCCGTCGCAGGTGACAATGTCAGACGTCAGACACGGCCCGGACACCGGATCCAGAGCATAGGTACGCAGTAGTCAAGATGTTTGCCTATTCCCGTCTATTTGCCAGTTCCCCCACTTTACCAGAATGTGCCAATGCGCCGTTATCCCACCAATGTTTTTTTTGTTCAAGCTTTGCACAAAAAGAACAAAAACCAAAACAAAAACAAAAGGAGAATCAACAGGTGAAGCGAGAAAAAAAAAGTGATCCCAAAGTTGTACACAGAATCAGAAGTGGCCAAATCCCGAGCCAAAACGGGCAACGGGCGAGGCAAAGAGCCGAGATTGGAACCATGAGAAACGGAAGGTGCAGGGGTGTGGCGGGCAGTCTAGGAAGACATGGGGATCCGGCCAAGGGGCCAGCCCTGTGCAGGGGCAGAACGAAAGGTGCGTGCAAGTGAGGAGAGGGTCAGGAGAGAAAAAGGAAACGAGGCCAGGGAAGGAAGTAAATTGGGGAGAGGATCGAAGAGCACCCCGATCTTAGCCGGCGAGATCCCCCGAGGCCGTTGGTCGTCGGATCCATCACCCTGGAAATCTGGGGGTTTGCAGGGTGATCAAACTGGACCCGGTCCTTCTCTTGGAGTCCGCCGAGCTCACCTTGAGTCGAGGTAGGACGTCAACCCGCGCGTCTCCGAAAGAGAGAGAGAAAAAAAAAAGGCCCCACCCTCTTGGTTGACGTTAGGCTTCCTGCATACCGCTTTCCAGGCGCACCGCACCACACAGTCGGCCGCACCGAGCCCGCCAGCGCGAATTCCCCCGCCTCGGAGATCAGACGCCGGCGCACTGGCGGCAAGCCTTCACCGTGCAGTACTTGCACTGCCAGATGTAGGTCCTGGGGCCGTCGTGGCAGAAGCCGCAGTACCACTGCAACAGATTCGTGTCCGATTTTATCAAATCCCAAACATGAACGCACTGGACCGCCATCTTTCTCTGTTCCTTGCTGTGTTTGTGCGTTCTCCGCTGCTTCGACGATCCTCGTACTTCTCCGCCTTCGGCCTTTGCGAAAGTCGGCTTTAGGTTGCTGAACGGGCCGCTACGGCGTTTCTCGTCGTCTTTGTGCTTTGTGCCGCGGCTGGGATGTCAGCTTGCGAGCGGTCGTATGGCTTATGTATGACCTGGTAGGCAAGGGCCATGAAAACAGACCCTATGGGTTTGGGCGAAGCATTCGCTACGACGATGGAAAGGAGGAGGTGGATCAGGAGAGGGTTCGCAAAGGCAGATTGTAGAGCGAGCGTCGCTGGTACTCCTACCAGGACGAGGAAACAAGGCGGGAAGAAGGGTCATTATGGCTGATAATGGATCAAACGATAGGGTTGAAAGGATCTAGGGAGTGTGTACAACGAACAAAAAGATGTCTCGTCTCCAAGGGTGTCAAGGGCCGAGTGGGGGGTCCGCAATAATTAAAAAGGAGACACTACCGAATCCAAGGGACGGGTTCGGGCAAGCATCATATACATACCTAGGTGGGCAAGGTGGGTGTGTGGAACCAAGTCCCGGCAGTTCCAGACCTCCAGGTGGTCTCGGTGAAAGCGTAGACTTGCTTTTATGCGGGGTTCCAGAAAGCGACTCTGCCAAGTTTACGATGATGCAGGCAGGTGCTGTAGTCTCCTAGGCACCCGGGAGTACACACAAACGTCCGTGGTTGATTTGTCTTCCCGTTTGTGATCGAGAAACACAAACACTCGGCCCGTTGCGGTAGGCACTTGGACCGGCTGACGGAGGCCTGACCTGGTGCTTGGAGAACGATGAGAGAGCGTTTAGGCAGTCAAAAGTCGGCGCTGGAGGTGAGCCTCAGCTGTTGGCAGTGCCAAAGAGGCGTGCGTTTGCCAACAAGAGCTCTTATGGCGGGAGTATGCAGTAATCGAGAGAGTATCAAGACAAGACGATGTCTGTCAACATGCGTACTGGGAAGTGAGTAAATAGCTAGAGATGATCGGTGTCGAGCTGCGTTTCCGGCTGATGAGAATCGCCAGTTACGAGGTAGGATTCCGGGCAGCCCACGAGATATTTATACAGTTGACAGTCGACAATTCCATGCTCTCCACGCGCATTGATAGGCGTCACCGGATTCCATACACGGCAACCGCGTTCCGCCGTGGAATTGGAACACGGTGAAGCAGAATGAGGTGAGGGTGCAGCGCCAGTGAACTCTAGACGGTGAGATCCCTGTCTAGAAACCCAGCAGAAGACGTTATACTGGACGAACGGGGCAGGCCGAAAGCCACGCCGAGCAAGGTCAGGGTTGACGGAAGGGCGGCAGTCGCGCGTGGGAGCCGAGGCGAACCCCTTGCTACGGCACAACCAAACGTTTTCCCGTGCTGCTGCCGTCTTGCGCGTGTTGTGATGGGGAGTGCCCGGCGAGGGCGTCGCAGAGTCGGTGAAGCAGTGGTGCTCTCCTGGATAATGGCACGCCGAGAGTGAAGGGCAAGGGGCTGGGACAGACGAGATGGTCACCCAAAAGAACTGCCGATGTGAATATCCCATGTCAAGTCTGCGAGTGGACGGGGAGCCCGGGCGTTGATCAGTGTCACCCTGTCGGTAAACTTTCTTTTTTCCTCTTTGCCGCTTTTGTTAATGGCAGCCTTGCTATCGTTCGTCAACCAGACCTCGAGCTAACCCAAGGGAACTCTAGGCGAGCGAGAGCAGGGCTCGAGGCTTGTTTAAGTGCTTGCAAAAATCTTTGCAGGGGACACTGAGCTTTGGGTGCGGTGAGGTTTTTTTCCCCCTGTCTGTATGAAATGGGAAGGAGGATGGCACCATGGTGGCCAGACGCGAGGAGAGCGGCTTGGACGCTCAACAGTGCTTCACGCTCAAGGGATTCTTGCTTGGAGCAGGGAAACCTTTTGTGGTTGCATTATAGAGGTAGCGGGCGTATGATGGGCCTGGAAGGAGATGTGGAAAGGAAGGAAGGATGTTGATGACGGAGGGGAGAAGGGAAGGGAAAAGCACGAACCAGTATGGGTTTAGACTGAAAAAAGGGATGGCGAAAAAAAAAGAAAAAGAAGGAGTAAAAAAAATGCATAAACCAAGACCCGCTTCTTGAAAGTTTGAGAACAAAGTGAGGCTAAAACATGCAAACTCGGCACGTAGCTCGAAAGAGCAACAGAACGACCAAGAAGAGGCAGCCATGCCGTGTTGGGGATGGGGTGCCTTCCTTAAGCGCACCATGGCCCCGTCCTAGGGGCATCGTGTCCGTCCATTTCCATGGAAGCTTCCGAGCTCGATGGGCCGGGGGGCCTACCCCCGGCGTTCGTTGACGAGATGGAGCCCGCCCCAGCGGGGGTGAGTTCCCGGTTTCCACATGTTTTCCCCATTTAAGCTGTCCGAATGGATGGAGTGGCAGGGAATTGTGTGCGAACCGTGCGCTCCTTTCGGGAGGCTTTTTGGGCTGTGTGCCCTCTTTCGTCGACCGAGTTCATGACATGTGGCTTGGGTGTCAAGGAATGCCGGGTCTACAAAAAAAAAAAAAAAAAAGCAAGAGCAACCTCGAGCTGCCTACCAGGCAGGTACCTACCCCCCCGTTCAGGAAGCTAGCCCCGCCGTAGTTTCCTTGATTGGGAACCTGCCCACTTCCACTCTCCAATCAGCTTGACCTCTCGCCTGTGCTGCCCTTTTTTCCATTTGATGGTTCGCTCGCTCAGCAACTCAAGACGGAAGAGGTGGCCCTATGGAATGCAGCCATCATGGCCAGGCAGTTTCCGGCATTGCAGGCACTGCCCCTTGCGCGCGGCCATGCATGCAGCTCAGGGCATGGTGCTGGTCGGCCACCGGGGAGACATGCCCAGTCTTCCCCGGAGACGGAGCCCAGTCCGACTGGCCATGTCGCCCGATATAAATGGCGCCGGCCGGAGGAGAGGCGCAGATACGCGGTGCAGGCCGCTTGCCTGCTACACCGGGGGGAGGGTGCCCTCGACCTGGGCGTTGCACGATTGCTCTGTTGCTTCCAAGTAGGGAACCAATGCCTGCCCTGGCCACCACAGGTAGGGCGGCACAATGCCACCGAGGCTGGGAACTCGAGGGGAGCACCCATGTTTGGTCTGCTGCAACCTCAGCGGCCTCTCATGGTTGCTGACTTGCCACTACCCTGGTCCGCACTGCCGGCTGTGAGTTCCCCGTGGCAAGGTAACAGTGAGAGGCGACAGTTCCGGGTGCGGCACTGAGGCAGTGGGGGTGGGTGAACCGACGCCTCGGCTGGATGGAGCTCAGACATGGACGTCCTGTCTGTTGGCGCTAGGGAGAATAAGCAAAATCAGGCTGCCGAAGCTTTGGGAAGACGCCGTCTCGAAGAGTCGCCATTTAGCTCGAGGCGCGCACGCACACAACTCACGCTCATATAAGCGCTATGCCACCGTCAGGCCGTCTGTGACGGGCAGCAGAGAAAGAAAAAGAAAAAAAAACGGACTGCTTCACGATAATTAGCGTGAGGCCACTGCGAAATTCCCTCCAATGAGCCGCTTTCTCCGAATTAGTCGAGACGGAATCTGATCACGCTCCCGCGGACTACCCGGATGGCTACCGGCCACGTGAGCTTCGTTGTTGCGGTGGTCAAGTACCATACTTGTCTACGGTAGGTAGGTACGGCAACTGCCTTCATCTGATAGATTGCCCTTGGTAGGCTGTGCTTTGAATTTGAAGGCACGCACGTCCCCGATGCAAGAAAAAAAAAAGAAAAGAAAGCAATAGCCGGTGTGTCGGTCTAGCTGTGTCGGGGGAGCTATTATAGCCAGCAATCTCAGCTATCCCACGTGTCGGCGAACTCCCGTTAGCCTCTGGCGCCAAAAGGACCCAGCCGTGTTTGGCGACGTGCTCCGGATTAGGCCAGGCCACACACGGCTCACGTCGAATTGGAGGGAGGGCAAGCACCCTTGCAACGATCCACCACTACCGGCAGGGTCAGTATGGATCCCTGATCTGCCGCCTCGTGAGCCTTGGCCACGAACCCGGCTGGGATGTGATGGGACGGGGGAGGGCGAGGGTGGGACAGTTACGGGAACAGACGTGATAAGTTTACATACATGGCCGCGCCGACATGCAACGGCTCTCTCTGGTTGAAACCATCTCTCCTTCTTATTCCGGCTCTGAACCCACAAAAAGAATAGGCCACCAGGGGAGGGGAGGTCAACAAAAAGGCTAGCCCGCTCCATGCATATGCACACGCGTCAGCGATGCCCTATCGCGTGGGCGGGCATGCGTGGGGGCGTTGATTGTGTCTGCAGACAGCCTGCAGCGGCTCTCGGCTTTCCAGGGTTTGTTCGCCGATCTTGTCTCTGACTTGGCGGCGCACTGCCCAGCTAGGAAAGAAGCCATCGGGGAGGATCGAGATTTGAAGCGCGGCGCATGAGATGCCAGTCAATGCCCAAAAAAAAAGTCTAACCTGACAGGGCAGAGAATGATCAAGTTGCAGTACGGTACGTACTGCCGTATCTACCACCAAATACGAACACGCTATCTCTCAGCAGAGGCGCTCCAGTCACGCTTGTCCCGCTCTGGGTATCTGTCCGCGGAGAAGCGATGTGCGATTCGGATGCACGGCAGCTTTCCATCTACCCCAGTTTGCCGGACAATCCACCACCAGGCTGTCACGGCTGTTCAATCCCAAACCAGTCTGCTTTATTGACTTGTCTGCAACTCCCCGTGCGTGCTGCATCTGAATTTGCATCTTTGGCCGACAAAGAAAAGAAAAACACCAGGCACCGGACGGCCTTGACTTTGCGCTACATCCAAGCACGTCCAATCAGACTGCCCTTGACGTTGCTGGCTGGGCGCTCTAGCATGGACGCTTCTTCGCTTTTGGAGAATACGTTAAGGTTGGAACCTTAAAATGCATCCGCTATAAATGGATTTACCATCCCCTGAAAAGCGCTGTAGCGAAAAACTTAATTTTTTTTTTTTATTTAGTACGCGCTGCAATTTAGGTTCCTGATATTCAAATAACTTAAAATTAACTTGCATACTAATAAGAATTCCAAATTTGTAAATGCATTTCGAATTTTTATTTTAGCATTTTTTTCTGATTTGATATGGCGTTTGGAATGTGTTGATTTTTGTACGTAGCTTGGTGGTGCGTATTCAGACTACTTTGGTGGGGCTTTAGTAGCTCACCCGCAACGCCAACGTCACATCGCGCACGCCGAGCTGTCAGATTGCCAGCCCCCTCGGCGGGCGCCCCTAATTTCCGTCGTCGACATCATGGATGCCAAACTCGGCTTCCCACCATTTCCGAACTGGCCAGATCTACGCCTATTCCCCCTCTCGTCAAAGACGAAAGTGGCGGGCAGCCCAGCGTAGGACGAGGCTCGCCTCGCCTCGCCTTGGGCTCGTGTGGCGTCCACGTCGGGGGAAGGCGTCAATCCGTCACTAACCACGCGTGGCAAAGCAGGGCCCGCCTTCATGTCAGCTAAGCCCGAGTGACGCCCGAACCTATCCCCGGTCCTTCTAGACCTCGTTGGCGCCCATTTTAGCTATTCTGGCCTCGCTGCCCACTGACGCCAGGAGCGGCCGCGCCGCGCACAACATTTGCCGAGGCCCAAGCGAATCAGACTGAGCTGCTAGCCTCTAGCAGGGCGATTGGCGATCAAAGCAGTCATGCGTTCGCACTAATTAGATGCATGGGAGCGCTTCCGGCTGACCTGACACCCATGTACGCCCCTGCCATCCCTGTCCAGCCCAGCCGATCCTCTCCCGCGAAACACCGGCAGTAGGAGCATGGAGGCTGTGTTGTTGACTCTAGAGGCTGTTGGTCTCCGCATCGGTTTCCCAGAGGCGCGTCTGCCGGGTCGATATCACACTCGGCCTCGCCGGAAAACCACCTCTGGAGCGGCTCTCCCACCGAGCTCACGGCAAATCGCCGTTTCTCCCCTTGCCCCTTCTACGTCATCTCTGATCAGACACGGGAACACGCTGCGTCCGAGTTGACGCGGCCCCGGGAGCATGCATGATTGGCACCGAGCGGCGCGAATCACAATTCCATGGTGCGGGAATATCTCGGACAGAGCCTATGCTCAACATGTGCCCCAACTTCTTTTCTTGCTCCCCTCCCTCCTACATAATTCCCTCCTTCCTTTTTTCCCCACATGTCATATGTGATATTTGAACAAAGTCAACCTGCGCAGCTACCTGGGTCACACCCACCATCGGAAGTGAGCCCGGGCTGTGCCCATTGGCTGTCTTCGCTTTCCTTCCTCCCCACATGGCCACCATGGATGCTAGCGTTGCTGAGCATGCATCTTGGGGGCGCACAAAGATCCACGACAATGGCTCCCTGTTCAGCCGCATTACGAGACCTGCAACCCATTTCTCGTTGGCCAATTGCGCTGTGAGCGGATCCGCGCCCGCAACTAGATCTCTCGTATCTTCGTTTTTAGCTTGACATTTTGCTTTTCCAAGCTATTAAGATACGATGAGGCTGGAGTTTTTTTGCTGTTCACCTTCGTTCTCGCGCTCACCAAAAAACGCGCGTTGTTGGTGTTGATGCCAGAGCTGAGCTCTAGCTGGCTGATCTCAAATTGCTAAGTCTGAGGTCGGATGGCAATCATGAGCTCATCATCAGACGCTGTCATAGCACCCAGCTCCTCCGTATCCGGCCTCCCCGCCCTACATAGTGTGCCCACAGACACCGTGCTCGTGCTGCCCGGTTAGCTAACATGTCTTTGGACGACTATAGGTGGGAATACGGCGGCATCTGGGGCACTCCCCCTCGCGTTATTTTCCCTTCTTGGAATAACTCCTGCGGGCTTGCTCGGGGTATGTCCCTAGGTTGCGAGCTATAGCATCGCATTGTATGCGCCTGGCCAAGGGGTTCGTTCCGGGGAAACTGCCTCTTACCCACATTGACAAGACAATTCCCCTTTGCGCGTTACTTGCAACAGGCAATGTCTCCGGCAGTCGCATTAACTCCCTTTGGGCGATCGCTTATCTGATCTCTCCGAGCCTCGATATTGCACAAGATTCAGACCGGCCGAGATCACACCAGAGAAGTTCCGCTTTGGGACTCGCGCATGAGCCACAGAATCGCGCCCACCGCCGCCTGTGCACGATGGGGAGAACAGGAGGCCAACGCGCATGCGGGCCGCAACAAAGGATGAACTCTGTCCGGTGCGTGTTTCCCGGCTCGCATGTCAAAATAAAAATAGACAAGAGGAAGAAACAAGGATAACAAAATGATGTTTCTTGCGCTCTAGGTTCTGTTATGCATCTCTGTCGGCAAGCCCAGTCTCGGCCTTCTAGTTGCCCGGCTGCTGAGGCAGTAACGCACCATGCGAGAGAGTGGTAACAGCCCAATGAACAGCCCCAAAGTAGAGCAAAAAGCCGGCTTGTTCGGGTAACTCAAAGGGGAAGAAGAAGAGGGAAAAAAAAGAAGGGTTGGTTTCTGGTACCCGGCCCGCATCAGGAGCGATCGGCGGGTGCAGCAACCTTCCTCTTCGGCCAAGCCCAAGCCCTGGGGTAGCACGAGTTAGCAGCAGAAGCAGCCGCAGCCACATCCCGCCACCCCCGCCAAGTTGGTTAGCGTGCCCTACCCGACGGCAGACTCGTCGGTGCCGCGTTCTTGTGCTCGCTCGCGGGCGTATTATCCAAGTATGGAAATGATGATGATGATGATGATGATGATGATGATGATAAGAAGAAAAAAAGAAACTTTATAAATCACACACCACGGCATTTCTCGCATGCATATATCAGGTATCCGCAGTAAGTTGGGAGGGGGAGGGGGGGCACAGTCCCGCCATTTCCACCCGACCCCCCTCCCCTCCGTCCCGCCCTCCCACCGCTTCCTTCCTGCACATGCCTTGACCGGTCAAACCCTAATGCGACGGTAGGTAGGCAAAACAACCAACGCACACAAGGGCCCTGTTCTTTGCGCTTTTGCCGCACACCGGCTCCTGTGGTCGTTGATGGCTGCGCGCGCCGCAAGTGAGACGGTAAGGAGCAGGGCTTGGTGGTAGCAAGAGTTGGCGTCTTGCAAAAAGTGTCGCCACCACCACACAAACCCCCCCTCGATGATGCCTAGCCCCGAGATGGCGACAAAGTGCAAGCGGCTCGGGATATGTGATGCCCACTTTTAATCTATGCAATGACCCTGGAACAATAGTTTCCTCTAGGCTGACTCGTCCACGCTACTTGTGCATTTATTGTCTAAAAAGGGAAAACGGAAAACATAGAAATGGTACCTCTCGATATGCCTGATGCTAGGTAGCGCTCGGCTCGCTATCCACCTATTCCATATCCATGATGATTGGCCATCCAGCCCGCAGAGACCTAGTGGGTGGGTGCCTCTCAACCTCTGACTTGATCTTCGCTTGATAGGTATGCATGCATGACGCGCGCTGCGCTGCTACTTTGTCGCTGCCGCATCAGGCGCCAAGTGCTTGGTCGATTTCATCTCAAGCACGTCCGACTCGCCCATGCGATTTTCATCGCCACCCGCCTCGCTTCCCTGCTTTTCTTGGAACGAAAATGCGTCCGACAGGTTGACGGCAACGAAAGATTTGGGGAGTTTAACCCTGCCGGAGGATGGAGAATTGTCAGTCCGTGGTACAAATCACCGACAGAAGATCAAGGGGAAGCATTGGTGGAACTTGTGTAGTGCATGAGACGGAGCAAAAAAAAAAAAAGGACTTACTGGTGAAACCTGGCCCGCAAAGTTTCGATAACCTTTTTCCAGTCTCCGTGTGCCGTCAGACTCCGACGCGGCGCCCAGCTGATGCAGTGGCGGCTGTCGAGCTGCACATCGAGCGGGTCGTAGACGTGGCACCCCGGGCTGATGGTGATGCGGATGCTGTACTGGAAGGACGGCAGATCCCCACCGTTGCCCGAGGCCGCGTCCGGGGTCGACGGCTTGATCTCGCTCTCGTACAGCTCGAAGCAGATCTGCGAGAGGTAGTCGAGCTCGGGGATGCTGCTTCGCTTGATCTTGGTCTCGATGCCGCCCTCGAGGATGCAGTTGAGCAGCGTGTAGATGTGCGACTCCTTGGTGAAGTAGAAGAAGCCTTTGGCCTCGTCCGACGCCTGCATCTCCTCCAGATCCTGCACAATCTCCTTGATGAGGGGCAGCGACGTCAGCAGCCCGATCTCGAGCTTCTCGCTGTCCGAGATGCCGTACTCCTGCGGACATATAAAGTCGAACAGGACCTTGGCCAGCTGATACAGCTCGCGCAGGGGCTCGAAGAAGGCCTCGGTCTTGGCCTTGGTCTGGCTGTTGCCCTTGTACAGGTGAAAGTACTGCTCGGGCGGGGCGGCGCCGTCGCCGTGATGCCGGAGCCCATTCATCCACGATCGCCGCCGGAAGATGCGCCTGACAGACTTTGACGACTCTGACTTCTCGCTCCTGTCGTCCGGCACGGGCTGGCCCCGTCCGTGTTTGGAGTCCTCCGACGTCTTCCGGCTGCCATCCTCGGGCTCTTTCTGCTGCGACTTGGACTCTTTGCCCCCGGCCATGGTGCCGTACTCTTCCTCTAGCATCTGCTTGGTTGGCGTGAAAACCCACTCGAGGAACTGCCGGTTGTGGAGCGCATCGAACTTCATCGTATCGTACAGCTCCGAGATTTTGCTGGGGTCCACCTTGTCGCCGTCGCAGAATTCGCTGAAGAGTTTCTCCCAGCGTTCCCGGAATAGATCTGGGTCTTCACCCGAGCACCAGCGGGACTGGATGCTGTTGATGGCGTTTGCCTGTGCGAGAGACGACGCCATCGACGATGTCGATCCGCCGCCCTCGCTGTTCCGTGAGGAGCTTAATCCCGCGCTGGTGGTGCCGTTGCCCTTGAGCTTGGCGTAGTTGTGCTCCATCACCCTGCGGTGGAAGTTCATGAGCTGCACAACCCGCGTCTGCACCTCGGACGGCTCCGGCATGTTCTCGGGCCAGGCGAACTGCGGGGGACGCTCGTTGCCCTTGCGCAGCAGGCCCTTGAGCTTTTTCTTGACCTTGTCCATCTCGTCCTTGGCCGCGTTGGAGTCGTCCAAGAGATCTTTGCGAACGGTAATAAAGTCTTCTGGCAAATCCTTCTGGTTTAGGAAGGATGCTGCCCAGATCTGGGCGCTAGTTGTGACACGTCGCTCGGAGCTGCTGTAGACGTGGACCTCGTCAAGGATGTCCCGGTTGAGGAGCAGCAGATCGTTGCGGGTGATCTCCCCGAGCTCTTGAGCCTGGTATCTCGCCGAATGCGTCGGCTCGCCTCCCCATTTCACAATCAGCTGCATCTTGTCCAACACGAGACTGTTCTCGGCCGCAGTAAACTTGGACATTGTAACATCCGAGAGCGAGTCGTTGCGCTTGGGCGCTCTGGGCTTGTCGCTACCGTCTTCGTCGTCATCGGCCGTTTCGGTGGACTTCAACTCGGGCACCGGCGGCTCCACGGCCACTTTTTCTGGTGGCGCTTCTCCCGACTTTTGTTTGCGGAACATGGGCTTGATCTGGACCTTGGTGCCGGGCCATGGGCCCTTTTTGATCAGAACGTTACGCAGCATCCTGAGCTTGTTCCGATCTTCGATACCGGCCTCCATGGCTTGGTCCACAGCATTCGCGACGCTGGACAGCGCTGCCTCCCCGATCAGTAGAACCTCCTCCTGATGGCCCTTGAGGAGCTCGATGAAAGGCTCCGTGTGGAATGTGAACTTGTACTTTTGTTTTGGGGTTCGGTCTGCATGTCGAATGACGGAGACCATGCCCTTCAGCTTCCAAGAGTGCTTGGGAGGCGGGGGCGGGGGAGCCGTCTCCTCTTTGACCTCGTCCGGGCCTGTGTCAGGGATGCTCGGGGTAGTGCTGACTGTTGCCGGCGCCGTTGCTGGAACGCTTTGCACCGTATCCAGGACGTCCAATACTGAAGGCGAGGCCGCCACACTTTCACCCTGCTTCGAGCTCAATGCGGTGTCGGACCGGGCTAGGGCTCCTGGATGGGGAGAGTCGAGGCTGACGCGGATATCCTGAGAGTGTCTCTCGCTCAAGCCAGGCCCAGTAGAACCCGCCTGGCTCGCTATCGACGGTGCTTGGTCTCTCTGGGACGCGGCAGCCGCCGCCGCAGCAGCCGCAACCGCCGCGGCGGCCGCAGCCTTTTGAGCTATGGGATCCGCCTCCTGTCCTGATGGCGATGGGAGGGGAGGGGTCATGCCACCTTTGCGAACCCTCTCCTTGATGAACATCTCCTTCAGGATGGTTGCACAGCGCTCATAGTAGTCGTCGTTATCCTTGACGAAACTCCAGCCGTTCACGTCGATGACGTAGCTCTTGCCACCAGCTCTGAGAAAGTCAAAGCCGCAGACGCGCTGCCCGAATGTCTGCGAGATCTTGCTGGCCGTCTCTTTCTCCGAGGAGCTCAGCGCCGTGATGTATCGGATCTCCTTTCCGTGCGTATTCCGCCGCACTATGCCGTCGACCACGGGGGACTTGCGAGTCTCGGCGTGGCAGTAGTTGGGGCCGACAGTGTACGCCTTCACGTCCTCGGCGTTATCCACCTTCATAAATTTTTCGTAGATGTAACTCTCATCCGGATTTGTGATGGCGCGTGGGACGTTGAGATCCTCGATGTACTCGGAGCTCTTGTTTCCGATCTTTCGGAAAAGCTTCCGAGCGCCGCCCCCAGCTGAGTTGGGGAAGTAGATGATGATATTATGGTCTTCTCCACTCGTCGGCTTCTCGACAAACGGCTTCTTGAGCAGGACTCCGTCGACGCTGATGGTGTCCCCATCGTCTAGAAGTTCAACAACGCTGGGGCGCGGCAAACCAAGGATCTCGGGCAGATCCAACGTCAACCCACTAACATCCTTGATGTGCTTCACCATATCGGGGGTCAGAAGAGTGGGACCACCGTCACGGCTGACCTCGATGCGCCGCGGCGTACGCACACCGATTTTGTTAAGCAGGTGTAGACAAATCCGGCGGTCCCATAGAAGCTTCTGCATGGGTACGTCGTTGACACAGAACGGCTTCCTGGCCTTGACGTACGCGATAGCCTTGTCTAGCGGAAAGCCATCCGAGTAGAAGCATATCAAGTAATCGCTGTGGACCCAACTGTGAGCATGGATGGTCAGGGGGGAAATGAGGGAAGAATACTTACCACACTGGCCAATTCTCGACCTCTTCGTCAAGGATGACCTTGTCTCCAAAAACGGTGACGTCAAACTCGTTGTTTGCAATAAGACGGTTGAGGATGTTTCTGCTGGGCTTGCTCCGGGCCTTGACGTCCAGGGCGCACACGCCGATGATACCAAGCGGGGCAGGCCGGTGCTCCTCCTTCTCTCGCTTGTGTGCGGGGCGGTCACTGCTGGGGCTGTGGCTGCTGTGGGCAGTGCTACCGCTGAAGCGTCTCTTAGCCCGACTGCGGTCCCGGTTTGGCTGCAACGCCCGGTGGGGAGCCGGGGCCGTCGAGCCTCCGGGGCTAGGAGCGCTAGCATTGCCAGAGGGATCGGAGCGCGGAACCGAACCAGACTGGGTATGGCCCGACGGCTGCTGGCCTTTGGCAGCAGGAGGCGGCATGGTGCCGGAAGCACTGCGGTGGGTGCCCGGCGGGTTGGGCGAGAGGCTGCTCTCGGAGCCGGCTGTAGACACAGCCGAGCTGGGGACTGCAAGGGCCGAGGCGAGCGAGTGCATGGAGGACACGCTCATGCGCTTGGCCTCCTCGGAAAAGGACGAGCGCGAAGAGGGCATGGCTGGGCGCGGGAGGTGCTGGTATGCCGCGGCCGGGTGGGCATCAGGGGGCAGTCCAGGAAGCAGGCGTGGCGTATCCGAGTCGCCAGAGGCACGCCTTGTTGGCAGACTGGCAATAGCACGTGCTGACGACTCGCTCGTGTCGTCAGAGGTGCTTCTGCTGTGGGAGAGAGGGCTCCTGAAACGCGGGACGGGAGGGGGCAAAGACAGGCTCGCTCGTTCGGCGCGGGCGTCTGCGGACGCAAGCTCGACGTGTCTGCTGTCCCGGTGTGTGGCGGCAAAGCCAGCGGACGAGCTGGACGGGGAGCGGCTGTGGGAGGACGGATGCAGCACAGCAACGGCGCTGGCAGCAGTAGCACTGGCAGCAATACTATTAGTAGCCGTAACCGGTGATGGCGGTGGCTTGGAGGCCGAGGGGGTGCGAGTAATGCTCGAAAATTCAGTCGGTGACGCTGAGGGCGCTGGGCTGGCCGCCGGCCCACCGCCGCGGGCTTTGGCTGGGCCTTCAGCGTCCCCAGCATCGGGTTGCGCCTGCTGAGACGGGTCCATGACGGACGTGCACTGCACCTGCCCGTGCTCTCAGGGCCAACAATCAATCGTGGACAGGGCTATCTGCAGCGCTGGCAGTTGACACGGAGGAAGCAGCAGCCGGCAAGGCCAACCGACGGGTTTGTTCCGACTGGCAGGCTCTAGACTCAACGGCGCCCAGTCTCCATTCTACCTGTGACCAAGCAAATTTCGGGAGCGGAACGGCCGACGCTGCTGGTCCAACAAAAGCGATGGCTGAATTACACCGCCAACGTCAGGCTGCCTTCGCCACTCACTTTGCCGAACGCGCTCCGCCTCCCGACTGTCTCTCTCGGATGACCAAGAACGCCAAGCTTCTCTCTTCCAAGATGTCTACGGGCCGTAGAATAAACACTGTCGGCCTCCGCAAGTGCCTGGGAAGGTAAGCGCAGGTATCTTTTTTTAAGGTGCGATAAGACCAACGCCCGTCATTGGCGCGTATCACTGGGCATCTGCAATAATTCATGTGTGTTAGACCTAAATCAGGGTCTTTCCAGTCATGGGGGTGCAGTGCGCCGAGGGGCATCCGTGAGATACATCCGGCAATAAGACACGTGCGAACCTCTACGGTGACGGTGAGGGGCGCTACGAAGGTCTGCAGCTCTGACATCACCGCTCCAATGCCCCAGTGGGATATGGATGAAACCACAACTATGTCGATTGGCCCGCTCTCCAGCCTCAATAATTTGACGACCCCACCCTAGGCGTCGCAAGGCTGAGATAAGGGGAATTGACCCGATAAGAAAAAAAAGTTGAGGGATCGCAACATCCATCTGCCAAGCCGCCAACCGCGGCAACTGCACTCAGCGACTACATCCGGCCTTGCAGTCTCGACCCCTCAATCCGCTTCGAGGGCAGTCGCATCACAAAATGCCACACATCGAAACTGACGGCCCGCTCACAAAGCGGCAGAAGCGGGATGTCTCGGTGGCCCGGCCGTCAAATCGCGCTTCGCAAGGCTCTGTTATTTTCGCCCCGTTCCGAGTAAGGCTCGATTGCCATAGCGGGAAACCCCTCATTCAACAGGATAGCATGGTTCGAGTACTAATCCGGAGTTGCCCCCAAATAGACCGTAGGACTCGTGAATCCCACCCAAGTCCCCTTCACCGCGATACCGCGCGGAAAGACGACCTTCCAGATCACCACCAGCGTCGGCCGATGCCTACATACCTACGACCTGAGACGAGGGCTCAATTTGATATTCATCACCCGACCGCAGACCCCGGCTGACATCACGGCGACGTTCGCATGGGGCGACCAGCTGTTTGCCGCCTGGGGCGACAGCCGAAGGGCGGGTGAGAGCCAGGGCCTGTGGATTTTCGAGAGGGGGCGGAAGATTGCCGAGCTCGAGCTCCCTGCTGGCCTCAACCAGCCCATCAGGCAAATCCTTGTGTTTGGATCATGGGTCGTGGCCTGCGCTCTGACAAGGATCGAGGTGTGGAAGACGGACAGCCAGGAACACTACACGACAATCTACTCGACCGCGGCGGCCAAGGGGGGCAACGAGCTGACGGGGGGTATCCGGAACATGCCGACATACTTGAACAAAATATTTATAGGCCGCAAGGACGGCTGGGTCGAGATCTGGAACATCAGCACCGGGAAGCTGATCTACACCATTCTGCCACCCTCGCCAAAGGCCGGCGCCGTTATGTACATGGAGCCCACCCCGGCCCTCTCAGTCATGGCCATCTCGTACTCCCGAGGACCCCTGGTCCTTCACAACATACTCACCGACAAAGCGGTGCTTCAGGTCAACGCCGGCACCCCGGAGGCGCCCGTGACTACCATCTCATTCCGAACGGATGGCAAGGGTGCTGGCAGGACGGGCGAGAAGGACGGAGTCATGGCCACAGCTGCCTCCATGAGCGGCGACATCACCTTTTGGGATCTGAACAAGGGCGGCCGCATCATGAGCGTTCTCAGGGGTGCTCACAACCCACCGCAGAGCGACGGTCAGATGGTGCGTGGCGGGATCGGCAAGATCGAGTTTCTGCCAGGTCAACACCTTATCCTCACCAGCGGGCTGGATAACTCGCTCAAATCTTGGATATTTGATGAGGCTGCGTTTTCTCCCGTGCCACGGGTACTGCACTCGCGGAGCGGACACGCTGCCCCTGTCACATGCCTGCAGTTCCTGCCGTCTGATTTCGACGGGGCTGATGCCGGCAACAAATGGCTCCTCAGTGGTGGCCTCGACCGCAGCTTGTGGGGTTGGAGTCTGCGCCGAGATGGCCAGAGCACAGAGCTCAGCCAAGGTCATATACGGAAGAAGGCCAAGAAACAGGGCATCTTGACGTCGAGCGCTTTGAGCCATGGGCCGGTAACGACGCTAGACGACCTGAAGGCGCCCGAGATAACGTGTATTGCCTCCTCCCTAAATCGCGACGGCGGAATGGGCGCGCTCCCAGGGAAGCAGCCGACGTGGAACCAGGGACAGGGAGCAGGCAAGCCAAACGCGGACGCAGAGATCAGCGCCATGACGGGCTGGGAAAGCGTCGTGACGGCACACAAGAACGATCCGACGGCAAGGACGTGGTTCTGGGGTCGCAAGAAGGCGGGCCGCTGGGCTTTCCCGACAGGGGATGGGTCGTACGTATCTACGGTGGCAATCAGCCCTTGCGGCACGTTTGCGCTGGTGGGATCCCTCGAGGGCAGCGTCGACATGTACAACCTACAGTCGGGCCAGCACCGCCAGCGGTTTCCATCCAAGCTTACACCTGCCCAGGCGCGGCAGCTCAAGGTGCAGCAGCTGAGGCAAGCAGACAGCGACGTTATGTTGCTCCAAGCCAACTCGCAGAAGGCGTTCTTGCCAGGCGCAGGCAGGCATACCAGGGCCATCACAGGCATCGTTGTCGATTCGCTTCTCAGACTCGTCATTTCCTGCTCGCTGGACGGAACCATAAAGTTTTGGGACTTTTTGACGGGAAAGCTGGTGGATCAGATCGACTGGGCTCCAATGACGGTGATCACAGGGTGTCGATACCACGCGGCAAGCGATCTGCTTGCATTTTCATGCGATGACCACTCCATCCGCGTTGTCGACATGGAGACGAAGCGGACGATCCGAGAGTTCTGGGGCTGCCAGTCCACCATCAACGACTTCTGCTTCTCCAACGACGGGCGCTGGATCGTGGCGGTCAGCCAGGATTCAACTTTGAGAGTCTGGGATCTGCCGACGAGCCATCTGATCGACGCCGTTAGGCTAGAAAGACCGTGCAAAGCCATTGCCTTCTCGTCGACGGGCGAGTACCTCGCGACCGCGACCGAGGGACGATTAGGAGTGGATATATGGACCAACCGGACGCTCTACAAGCACGTTCCGACCCGCCAGATCTCGGAGAAGGAGATGGTGAGGATATCTGGCCCCACAACCTCGGGAGAAGGGGGACAGGGCCTCATCGAGGCCGCGTTCGAGGACGACGAGCCCGAAGGCGAGGACACGGTGGCGGCTCCCAGCGTGGACCAGCTCAGCGCGGACATTATGACGTTGAGTCTGGTGCCCAAGAGCAAGTGGCAGACGCTTCTGCATCTCGACCTCATCAAGCAAAGAAACAAGCCCAAGGAGGCACCCAAGGTGCCCGAGAAGGCGCCTTTCTTCCTTCCACCAGCAAACGAGCCGAAGGCTGTCGAACAGGCCGTGTCTGCTAGAGAAGACAAGTCGGACGAGAGCAAGTCGAGGATCTCCAAACTGGATCTCAGCCGCGCCCAGGAGGCCTTCACGGCCAAGTTACATGCCGGGGCCGAATCCGGAAACTGTAAGTCGGCTAAACATGAAGATGCCATACAGACTGGCACGAAAGGAATCTATCTCTAACCTTGTGCACGCAGACAACGACTTTATCGAGCATCTGAAATCACTCTCGCCGTCGACGGCGGATCTGGAACTGCGATCGCTGTCAAATGGGAGCGCAGCAGACGAGGACGGAGTCAACGAGCTGGTGCACTTCATCAAGGCACTAACAGCGCGGTTGGTAGCGCGCCGCGACTACGAGCTGACGCAGGCGTGGATGACAGTCTTCCTTCGGCTGCACTGCGACGCGGCGGTCGGGGACGAGGATGTGCTGGAGGCGCTGCGGGACTGGAAGACGCAGCAGGAGAGAGAGAAGGACCGGCTAGACGGGCTCGTGGGCTACTGCGGTGGGGTTGTTGGATTCTTGAGGAATCCGCTGACGTGATTGTGTAACCGCAGGAGAGGAAGTAGATGCATGTGTGCGTTATTTGCGGTACCGACAGTAGGTACCTACCACTTAGGCGTAATGATTCACTGCGTCTGGCCAAGACGAAAACCACGGATTTTCCAGGGCTTGCTCCATTCTACTCTGTAATTAGATAGAATCCAACCGCCAGGTTGCTGGAGCGCTGCTCCACCAGGCGGCCATGTGGTGGGAAGTTTCTTTTGCCGGCCCCCGCCTTTGCAACCTCGTGGGATCCTTGTGGCCAACCGATCATCAATCTCTTCGGATGAGACCCTTGCAAGGATCCCATCGCCGTCCTCCACGGTAGATAGACAGATAGACACAGGCACGGTATCCGGAAAAAAGTCTGGACCGCAATTTATTCCCCACCACCACAAAAAAGGAGCCCATCCGGAAGGCTTCGACACTCCGGCAAAGCGAAAAACGTCACTGTGGCTATAAGTAATGCCTTTTGCATCAAGATAATCAC